CTCAACACCACTAGCATGCAAGTTCTCTCCTGCCCAGTTGCTGATGGGAAGGCAGATTAGGAACAGCGTTGGGGGATTTTTCTTCAACATCAGCTTAAGATTCGCATGATACCAAGTACAGCAAAACATAAACAAACGAAAACCGCACAACAACAAATTCAGAGCCATCTCAAGAAGATAGATGTTTCCAGGTTTTCGGTAGTTTAAAACCAAGCAATACAAGAGCTCAACTCTGTCGCTGTGAATAAAAATACGCCCCGCTCCACAAAACAGTAAATGAACGAACTTCCGAAGCTGGCCGGTGCCAGTCCTGCCATCTTGAAAATATCTTGAAACAAATGGCGCGGCAAGAACTTGACAAGATCCTGAGTATTAAGTTCTATGTCGAGGTCACAAAAAGAAACGAAGATGATAACGAACTGCAATCCCCTAAAATCAAGCAGAGTGCCATTGAACGGTATTTTAAAGAGAGCAACTATCCACTGGGCATCGTGCACTCGAGGGAGTTTCACAACTCAAAAGAAATCCATTGCAGAATTGCACTAGCTGCACCTTCAAATTCCTTCTCCAAAGACAACTAGAAGTCTCAGCCTCAACCACAGAAGAAAGGAAGGCCTTTCATCATTGATTCGGGTGACGAGAATTGAACTTGTATGCATGAAGTAGACTCTTTTCGCTCTGACTTCACTGCTTGTTTCTTTGTTATGCTTGAATGAGTTTTCATCACATGACATCGTTTGCATACTAAATGAGACTTAACGACGTTTCCGGTTCAACTATTTTTAACAAACCAGCTAATGGCACAATACACCAAAATCTAAAATTTAAGGCGATTAAATTGTGCGATTTCAAAATGGATCTAATAAAATGGCAATTGAACTTCGTGTCGTGTAATTTTGGTCCGAAATCATACCTGTGATTTCAGACCAAATTGCACTCCACTCAGTTCAAATACCATTATTAAAGTGATCGCATCGAACGCACTCGTAGTCTTTGATTGCTACTAGTCTATAAATCGAATGTATTACTGGAAACTGAATGTATAGATCTGTCCAGTTGCATCCAGCTCGCGTTAAGTTCTCTTTGTTTGTTTGTTTTTTCAGAAATTTTCTTTGACCCAAGATACGACAGATGTTTCTGCACGGAGTGCCACGCAGCCCGAGGGGACAATCTTTACTACAATCGAGGAAAACCTGCAAAGGACTACGGGATTCCAATAGGATGGTGTCGGTTTGGGCTCAAGTTAGTTGAACGTGTAATGAGTAGTTACCAGTAAAACATAGTAAGTCAGAGTTTTGGCCAAGTGCAAAATATAGCGCAACACACAGTACTGTTCATTTGTTTGTTGGTTTATTTGTCTGTTTGTTTGTTTGATTGGGTTTTTTTCGTAGTCTTTCTGGACGATATTGTGTTGTTTGTAATCCGACGGAGATTCTTTTCCATCATGAATAGGAAAATTCACGTTTAGAAAATTTAGCATAGGTTTGCCATTGTCTAGAAACTCTAAAGGAGTTACCAATTTTTTTTTTGATTGTGTGATTGGCAGTCGGCAGTGTCGTGTAGTTAGTGGTATAAGACATGTATGTATTAAATGAAGTGAAAGAAGCCGGACGTGACGTGAGCAAAGAAAACAAAAGCACGTGGACTGTTAAGTAATATGTGAATGTGAATTAATCAACATGACACGAGCGTGGGACAAAGAAAAATTCTGAGTCCCCGACAGGAANAAAACAAAAGCACGTGGACTGTTAAGTAATATGTGAATGTGAATTAATCAACATGACACGAGCGTGGGACAAAGAAAAATTCTGAGTCCCCGACAGGAATCGAACCCATGACCTCCCAAAGTAATATGTTGTCCTTATTCCGGGATTCGTTTCTTCTTATTTTCCGCTCATTTATGTGTGATAAGACACAACGCTCAATAGCATCTGTATAACGGGGCTTTGCAAAAATTCACGTTTTGTGTGTTCTATATATATTTGTAGGGTTCAGCCTCGAGCTAACGCTCTGGACGTGTTTAACAAATGGCATGTGGCATTCCACGGCACAAGAGTAGACAGTGTTAACGCGATCTTGGAATGCGGTGATCTTCTTATGCCAGGTATTTCGTTTAGCATTTAAATTCTAATTAAACAGCTAAATGATATAGAGGATATATACAATGTGCATAGCATCATAATGATGCTGTTTGCGTTGAGTCAGGATAATTCTTAGATTAGATTGCACACTAATATATGGCTGGTAGTGCACGATAGTTCATCCAATCGGATTGCACCATTTGCATTAGTATACCAGTAGAATTCTACTAATACATCGCTATTTTTCTTTATCGCATTCAGCTTTAGAAATATATAAAAGTTTGATTTCACAATATCAATTTGAAATACTACTTAAATGATATTTACTTCTGAAGAAGTGACGTTTGCAATTTATCATCATACAACGCATGTCACCCACATATCTATCTATCTATCTATCTATCTATCTATCTATCTATCTATCTATCTATCTATCTATCTATCTATCTATCTAAAATAAATTGAAGACTTGATTTTAATTTCAAAATTGTTTAATTTTACGTGCAGGTGATGTCGCGCTCGGAGGAAAAAAGTTAAGCGAGGTAGATGGACATTTTAATGATAGCAGAAAGCCAAAAGGATTTGACACAAAACAGATCTTTGT